ATATTGAAAACATAGCTCCTGTGATGGTTGTCCATTTATAGAAATAATATAGGTGTGTTATTGACATAGCAAAACACATTGATAGCATGAAACGTCGTAAGTTGTCGTATTCATAAACTATCCAATATTTTATATTAATTTATTAAAAACTTAATTGACATGTATATTATTTTCTTTTTCTTTATATTACTGTAATTTAAGAATATGAGTATTCAATGGCTTTTGTTAGCTCACTGTCGTTTAAATCTAACTTTTCCTATGTAAATAATTGATTAAAAAATGGTCAATAGAAGATAAAATGCTTATAGAAGACACGAACAACCTGTAATGAGGTAAAGTTAATTGTACTGCTTTAATTTAATTTCTTCAATGACTCTTTCATTCGTTAATAGATAGTTATAGAAAATAAATATAGAAAATTTAATTCTCACCGTTCGACTGTTTGTACCTGCATTGGTTAATTTTATGCCCCTAGACCGGATCGCGACAAGAGATGTTGGAAGTGAAGGATTGAGAGTTGATTGTGAATTTAGTTGCTCTGATTCAAGGCCTCTGAGAGGCCTTTTCTGCTAACTCTAAGCTGAAAACAACCAATATTTTGGGTAAGTTGCTTAAACTTGCCAATACATGCAAACATAGAAGATGCAATGAGTGGCGGAATCAAGTTTAAGTCAACCACATAATCTTGATTGTGCAGTAAAACTTCAACAATTTCCTAGGATTCACATACTTGCTTAAAATATTCAGGTTTGAGAGAGATTACTTCTTGCCCATAGCAGCAACTACATCACCATCAACTCCTTCTCCACTCCAGGTGAGTTCAATCCAAGAATCACGATTATGACAGGAGAAGGGACAAGTTGCCACTGCTGTTACTTACTCATCAATTCGCTACTATGATTTAGCTTGAGTTTCAATTGCTCGCTCGTGGTTTTTTAAAATAAATAATATTTTAAGCTTCTAACGTCTATGATACCAAAAGGTTGCCATTACCTCCTAAATTTTGTTGGAAGAACTTATTATAGTTGAAAAGTTAAAAGAATCCATACTGATTGATCTTTGTTGAAGGCAAGGTGAGAAATCGATGAAGGAATGTAGGAATGAATCAGTTCTTGCTTGCGTTAGGCACATAGCCAGAGCCGTACCCACCGTTCTAGCTGGATTTGAGGAAGCATCTTGTTGGGTCAGCCTCAAGCAACTTAAATTGGGAGAGCTGAACTCGGTTATCACTTTGTGAGCACTAATTTTTGAATAGGTCTTGGAACATTTTAAGTAGGCTATTGTGATCACTGCTTTGATCATAAACTATCAAATTAGCAACATACCTATTGTCATAGGGAGCTTAATCAATATGATCTTTGAAAGTGTATTTGAGAAGAAGAATATTGACGGGCCTTGCTTGTCATCAAATTTCGACCCTCTATATGATTATCCTAGAGAATGGTGCTTAAATTAAAGTTATTACTTTGCCAGTAAGTTAGGGAGAAGATGAGTAGTTCATGGTTGTGTTAAACTTCGATATAGTCGACTCTCTAATGACTTTTACACCATATTTGGTTCACCTATTAAATTCCTTCCACATAGTTGTATCAACATATCACTTTGCTATAAAATTTCAATTAGGAGGTAAAGTAGTGAAAGTAGGAGCTACTTGTTTCCTTTATAAGGGTCAACTTTTGTCTATAGGTGTCAGGGAGTTTCAGGAGACAGGTAATGTAAGGAGTTTCCTTTGTATCTATTTTAAATTTGGAGAATATTTTAAATGGATTAAGTTTAGCTTTATGTATTTTGGATATAGTTGGCTCTTTTGTGTTTTGGGAAACTTACTTTTTGAAAAAAATTTGGGAATAATTAATTAAGTAAAAATATTTTCGTCCAATCATCACTTCCACCTTATTATTCTGACTGTTAAGGTTGGGTCGTAACACTTCTATTTTTTTTGAAAGATTCCAATAGATTCAAAATAAAAATTGCCTTATAAATGCTCATCAACGATGGATACAAGTAATCTAGAAGTTCACTATATCAGGCGTGCATTGGAAAATGTAGTAGTGCATGTAAAATGTTCTCCCATGTGAATGTCATTCAAATGGACAAATATTAAGGTTATTTTCGGCCGACAAATCAAAATGATGTAAAAAACTTATCAAAAAGATGCTTTTAGTTTAAAAAATTCGCTCCTATTCAACATCAACACTTTCATAAGTTGCAGTTGATTTTTAAGTATGTGGTCGTTTATTGCCTGGCGCAGAGATCTAGTCGACCCTTCTTTACTAGCTAAGGTGTAAAAGAAATTTATTATTGTGATGATTGATTATTTCATCAAATGGATAGAGACAAAAAGACCAGGAAAGTCAACTCCAAAAATCATTCTCAATTTCATTTGAATTGATATCATTTGCCAAATTGATATATCATGTCATAATTATTGATAATGTGCTTCAATTTTTAGACAATAAAATTAATTTTTTTTTGTCAAAGTTGAGAAACTCGACTTAAGTTCACCTCGGTACATTGGTTAAGTAGAAGATGCCAATAATATTTTCTTAATTTTATGAGAAGAAAGTTGAAAATGTAAATGGCAAATGGGTAGATGTGCTGCCATCAATTTTTATGAGCTTTGAGAACTACCCTATCATCAACAACTTTCTAAATCCTGTTCATATTATTGCATGGAACTTGAGACTTATGGTTAGTTGAGCATAATATACATTGTAAAGTGTAGCTAGCGTATACAAGTTGATGTGGAATGTGTATTGGAAAATTTCAAATGAAGGATTGAAAATGGAACTAGATATATTTGAAGAGCTCATAGTATAATATTTTATGTAGAAGCAATACGTGAAAGGACTCCCAAATTTTGATAATTCAATTGCCAAGGAAATGAAATTTCATGTTGGCAATTGTATTGATGAAAAAAACCGATATCGTTGCTTGACAATCTTGGTTATACTTGGGATGATCCATATATTATCAAGGGATAGGTTGGCAGCGGTGCCTATTGACACCAAGTTCACTTAAAAAAAAAAAGGTTTCTAGGACTTAGAGAAGCGGGGACAATATCAAAATATTTCTCCCCTAATTTTTTTATATTTTCATCTACCATGTCATTGTTGATAAAAAATACATATCAACAATAATTTTTTTTACAATAAACGGACCCAACAAAGATAATTCATATTCATAAGGCGACTTCTATGAATGAACAAAGGGAATTTGCTCTATTTAGTTAACATGAGTAACTTACTCCATCATGAACTCTCGGGAAACTCTCTCCATCATGAACACCCGAGAAACTCGTTCCATCATGAATACTCAAAAATTAAATAAAAGGATCACTTCAAAAGTAAGATATTAAGTGAGCTAGCCGACTTCAAGTCTGGGCAATCTTAGATGAGCATTGGAAAAACTTATTTTCCTAATTATAGCTCGGTTAATCAAGAAGAGGGTAGACTAATGAATGTTTTAAGACCACTAGATTTTGGCTTAAGGATAATTTGAAAGCTCTGAAGTCTAACTTCTGAAGGAGAGCTAAGGCTCGTAGGAAAAGGAAGGCCTGCAGGAGAAGGATAGCCCAATATGAATGTAATTTGTCTTACTTCTTTCTTGCCTTGAGTTATATTACACCAAAAAAAAGGATATCTAGAGTTTATTAAGAGCAAAGCCTTATATTTTCTTTAAAATAAATTGAAATTAAAAAAAAAAATCTTAGCAAAATTAATGTCAACAAATGATTCACATCCTTAACATTGTTTTCAGGCATTACTATGATGTTACTTAGACGCTGACTATATAAACCCTAATAAAGTATTTCCTCTTAAACTTCATAATTGTAGAATATGAAGCCTTTTTTGCAATTAGATTATAAAGACAAGATCTGACATAAGGTAAAAGCTCATTAAAGATAACTTACCCAAAGCGAGCTTCACTACCTTTGCATGCGAACAACGTTCATGCCACAATTTTCTTATGTGCATTAAATATGTATGTAACTGTTTTCATGATTTAGTATATCATGTAAAATCAACCTCAACACTACACGAGTGTCATCAAGTATGCAAGTGGAGCACAATGAGCTGATAGGGGATGGAGCGTCCAAAAAGGTGGTTAGGCGGAGTTGCTGGTAAAGACATGAGCGGGGGTTGATCAGTGACTAGTTCAAAATGGGATAGGGGGTTCGAGCGATAACCTTTTACTTGGGATCAATCATGAGGATGATTATAGGCTTGCTTTGATATCTTATGATGAAATGGTTTTATATTATCCTACATGTTGGACTTATATATTGGCTCACCAAAGATTGCACAAAAAAAAAAAAAGAAAAAGAAACAAAATATAAGAGAAATATATTATCAATTATGTAGTATCAAATATTTATCCTAAAATAAGCACTTCCTATTATTGAGAAACCTTATTAAACATGCCCATATTTCTCAATTATTTTATTTAGTATATTCAAATTTGCTATTAGACGTGTGATTCAGTTTTAGCTTCTACCGGAATTCTCCTTTTTTGTTTTTTATGAAAGGCTATCTTTGGTTTATATGAATTGAGAGCTTTTGTTTTGTGTAGGGTTGTTATCGATCCAATTTTTAGCCGAGCTAGGGTCGGCTCAAAATCTGTTCGAAAAAAATTTGATTCAAAATTTTGGCTCGTAGCTCGGCTTGCTTTTTTTATTAGATCTAGATTCAAGCCAAAATTCGAATCAAATTTTGAGCGATTAACGATCTTCCCACTAAATTCGCTAAATTCATAGCCCTAACGTCACTAGGGTTTAGGTCAACCCCTGATAATGATTCAGACATTTTGACACTTTTCTCATATATCGGAATCCTGTTGTAGGTGGAAATATAAAACTCTTTGATTAGTATGTTATCATAATTGTTGAGGTTATTTATGAACTAATAAATATATTAGGTTAACTTCATTACCATAATTTAATTTATTCACTTTCTATGTGATCTAATTTTATCAAAACGCCTTCCTGTTTTCCTCTGCAGACCTTGTCCTTGGAATAAAGTCAGCATCAATTATGGCGCGCAGGAACTCCTATATGCTACCCGCACCTGAATATCATCCCCTCCATCTTTATAAACCTGCAAATCCTAATCCTCCATTGCATTTCGGTAAAACCATAATTTTCTTTCGTTATGTTCATTTGATACATTTTATTTTTCCCTTTTAAGCAAACTTAACTGTTTTTATATTGTGATTAGCAGAAAGTACCATGCTGCCTCCTACCGAGAACACTCTGTTTAATAACACCATGAGGCTTCCAAATCTCCATTCGTCTAATTCTGGAGCATTTTATGGCCAGCATCATTACACTCTATCAGCTTCTAGTTCCAGCCAAAGTTCGTCATATCCTACTCAACACGAACCTTATCGCTACGATCAAAATGTTTATGTGAATGGCACCAACACAGTTACATCTAAACGAAAGCACCCAAGTACTCTCTCATCCTATCAGAATGACCCCAGATATTGCTATACTGGTAGTAATCTCCTGATGAAGCCTGTAACACCGTGCTTGCAACCTCAGTTATCCACCAGCATCCCGCCTGGTTACCCAAGAAATAATTTTGTATCGGTCGGCGAACAACATCAGAGGAATGTGCGAAGAAGGCTTGGCAATGCTCCTTTTAACCCATCATGGCAATCTTCGAGCAGTCCATCCCATCAAATATACACATCGGTGAATAATTCCTCTTCAAATGCGGTTGCGCAATGGGAACTTCAACCTCTACATGGAACTCATGCTCGTCTGATTCATCCTACTGCTACTGGTTAGTATGTTTAACTTTTTTTCTTGTGATGGATAGTGGAGGAGAGAATTGCAAATATCATTTTTATGTGCTACATTTTCAACCAAGCAAGTAATCAAATATCAACTCAACATGTAATCTCATTTCGTCATAATGGTATTGGAAGACTTACATTCATATCACTCAATTCTTATGCATTTACACATCTAGCTCCGCTCCTAAACTTGAATTTTAACACACCCCCCCACACACACGCTCACACACGCACACACACACTACCTTTCCTATGCATGTAAATGTGTATTTCTCTTTCTAGAAGTTAAAATGGTATTTTTGATGTGAGCCGAAATATTTGGGTGGTATAAATGGAAAAATAAAGTTTTGTGTTAGATATGTAACTGCATATAAATTGAGTGGTTTGAATGAAAATGCCCCAAAATTATTTTTAGAAATAAGAAGGGGGGTCTTAATATGATACAAGAAATGATATGATTTAAATGCGAGCCTCTTCTTCTTCATCGTCTTGATTTTCATTTATTCGACTTTTCATCTTCTATGATTTATGAATTTGAAGTAGTATTTATTTCTCAACACGTTAAAAGTACTGAATTGAAGGATCTTCATAGTGAAGCTGTTTCAAATTTCAAGCCCGCTTAAAATCTTCATGAAAAGGCTACTCCATTTCGAATTTTCAACAATAGGCTTCCTTATCTTGAAATTATATTTTCTTCAAATATAAAGTATAGCTTACAAAATATATATTAGAATAATGTATAGGGGCATTTGCATGCATGGATAGCACACAATTCTACTGTTTTTAGATATCTCACACCTACACTTTCATTTTTACACATAACAATCATATATTTATATCACACAAAAATAACACTATCATCACTTTCTAAAAGTGAACTACATATTTTCATGCATAAGTTTAAAACACCAAAATGTTATGCCTGTGAATATGAAAGGTTATGTATGATATACGTAAACGCATAAGAATTGTGTACTAGTTATTTTAAATTTCCCTATAATGTGTTCTCCTGCATCATTATGTTCATATCCTTACATATTTTTAGCTGCAGGTGCTGCTTACCCGACTTTTATTATGAATCATTCTGCTGTTGGAAATTCTATCACTGGTGGCAACACAAACAATCATGGCGTTTTATTCTGGAATCCAAATTCTATATTACCCAATTACCGTTCTTCTCCACCAGTAGGGCCATGGACAAGTCCCAGCAGATACAACCACAGACAAAGTTCTACTTATGTTTTCAATGATTCCACACCTTCTGTAACTGGATCTGTTTCATTTTCTCAAAACCCAAGGCCGATAATTCGCAACGGTGTCCTGGGAATCTCTAACGGAGCTCAACCTTCGTTCGGCGAGAATGAACTCTTTCGATTGGCTTCTGTGGTCTGTTGCATCATCATTAAATCAAAGATTCACTATGTGTCACGGTTCACGAAAACTAATTCAACTCATTGTTTTTGGCAGGATTCCGCCATGCTTGATGTGCCGAGCTATTTGACTTCGCTGGATTTGTACGACGAGCATAGGGACTTGCGCCTGGACATTGATGGCATGAGCTATGAGGTTTTTCGATCCTCTTCTTTGTTTTAATGAAGATCTATTTATTTTTCCTTTTGTATTTGTTTTAACGAAGATCTTATTCAATTATTGAGAGTGAAGAAATAAAAACATGAAAGAAGATAGATTAAACATTAAAAATTAGGCTTTGCAAGTCAGATGAAGTTACTCTGACTAGTTTGTGTGATTGCAGGAGCTGCTTGCTTTAGAAGATAGGATTGGGAAAGTCAATATTGGCTTAACAGAAAAACAGGTTTCCTCGTGCTTAACAAAAACAACTTACTGCTCATCAGCACCAGAGGATCAATTTGAATCTGGATGCACAATATGCCTGGTAAGCTTCTAGTTGACTTATTTTGTTTTACTTTTTGGGCATTGACTTTACATACTTACCACCTTATGTGTTTACATATCTCACACATAAACTTTAATTTTTTACATATATCCCATCAAAATTTTCATATCCCATCAAAATTTTCATACTTACCACCTTAGGAGTTTAAAAAAAGTGAAGTACTCCTTTTTCAATGCCACGTATATATGTAAAAATTGAAATTTAGGTGTTAGATATGTAAATACATAATAATTAAGTAGTATGCATGTAAATATTCTTTTTTATTATTATTAAAATGTTTCATATAGACTATTCATTTTGAAAAAAAAAGGGTTGAAAACCCTAATTAGAGATATTTTGTTCTTCTGCTCAATAGGAAGAGTACAAAGATAAAGATGATCTTGGAATGATGAGATGCCTTCATGTTTATCATCTCAGCTGCATCAATGACTGGCTGAGGATAAAGAATGCCTGTCCTATTTGTAAAGCTCCTGCACTAAAAGATATGCCCTGAAGCAAAAAATGAAGCTTTTTCTTTTCTTTTATTATTATTATTATTATTTTCTGATTTAAGTGGCTCAAGCAGTTTGTTTAGATATTGTTTACCTTTGCAAAAAGTATAAATCTGGTTTTTGTTCCTGTAATTAAGTTGTTTAGCTGACATGATGTTCCAAAGTGTTTGGTGTAGCTATTTATTACTTGTTCATTTGCATTGTTTATAACCTTTTATGGCAGGTGGTAAATATATTTCACAATGTTGATTCTATTTTCTTTGAAACATATGTGGAGTTCTTAATCCTTGTCGAATTTTCATTTTATCAACAATATAGTTTAAAATTTATATCAAGTTTTGTATGCATTACACACTTAATTCCTATAGATATATGTATGTATGAAACATTTATATACATATACATACGTACATATACATAACTTGATATATATACATATACATACATACATACATATACATACGTATATATATGTACATACAATAAGTACGTATGTATACAAAAGTATGTATGTATATATAAGTATGTATGTATACACACAATAAGTACGTATGTATATGTACGTATGTATATTCCTATTCTCCTGGCTATTACTATTGCTGTCATTTTCACTGGTCTCATCTACAGATAGAAGCTGATTCTACATTTTTCTTAGAGTATATTCTAAAGAAAAAGAAGCCACCTTGGAACCTTTTAGCTTGTTTAAACAGGATTTGAAAGTTAATTGATTTGCAAATGCTTAACATTACTTGGGAGTTTTATTTACAGAGAAGGGAATTTAGCAGCTGACTAATTAGTAAATAGGGGGGGACATTATGATGTAGAAGTGGGCGAACATCCTCCTCGAAGGCTAAAATTGTTGCTTGATGGTGATCTGCTAGACATTCCTTACATAAGAGCCTAAATGGTCTCTACTGATCTGCTGGTTGGACTAATTTTACTGGCCTTGGGAAAATTTTTCCTAGTTTTTTCTTCTTTTGCTTGATCTCTGCTGCTTTCTTATCTTACTTGTTTAACATGTACCAATGTCTATCTGGGAGCATGGAATGCTTATTCGAGGAGAAATGGAGGCTGCTGGATTTGTTACTGCCGTTGAAGGCTTTATGTTTGCTGTATGGTGATGGGATTGGAGTCTACAACCCAATTTTTTGTTGTGTTATTTGTGGTTGGATCCTGGTATTTGAACTATCCACCATTAAAGGTGTACCAAAAATAACACCTAAAGAATAAAGAACCTTTAAATTATATAGATGCAATTTTAATGCAGGAAACCTCAGCCAGACCGGAACAATCGGCGGTACCTATTCAGGATTAAAACCTTGCATCCATTTCAGAATCTTCATACGAGCTCTTTCAATTAACAAGACTTTTCCTGCAAAAATAGCCACACAGTCTTCCTCCTTTTCTAATTTAATCATCAAATGTCTACCATCGATTAAGCCAATATTCCAACTACCAACCAATTTCAGATCAGGAGTTGCAATTAATTTTGCCGGTTTGAATAGAACAAGGAAAGGAATAAAATGTTAACTAATCAAATAATGTTTTAAGACGCTACACATAAGAAAAATGAAAATATATATAATGCATTAAAAACATATATTCATTATAAATAATGTTTTAAATAAATTCAAAATCATAGCCGTTAAAAGGCATGAATGAATTCAAGCAGGACATGGCCATGGAACTAAAAACAAGAGTTCATCATTAACAGCTTCAAGATCATCCATGGCCATGGAGCCAACGTCCACCTAGCCTATGGAGTTTGCCTCGCCATCCAGTTCGTCACCAATGTTATCATACATGGAATTCACATTCATGATTGTAAGCCTACGAAAGGGACAAAATGATGCAGATCGAGCGAATGGAAGAATTGGAACTTGAGGTCTGAAGGGGATCTACTTGTTATCGGTGCCTATGCCATCCGGCATCGGTTCTTCTTCAAGTTACGCGAGGGCCTCTAGCCTGGGCGCCAAGTCTTCCTCTATGGCGCGCGCTGTTGCTGCTTCCGCCGGCCATCTTTCATGCCACTATGGTCGTCCATGCTAAGTTCCTCTTATGCCTTATCAGACTACAAATTACAATATAAGTAGCTTTTTTTCTTTTTCTTAGCAGTTTTTAGGGTGATAGTCACAGTGTTAGTGAATAGTTGAAAAGGGCCCGTGCAAGCCATTTTGTCCTTCGGACCTTCATCGCATCCCGCTGTAGCTCAGCGTGGAGCTGTTGCGGAAGTGTTGGTCTTAGCTCGTGTTCGGCTCGTTCGAAATAGCTCGTGTTCGAAATCGGCTCGTGTTCTAAATCAGCTCGTGAACAATGTGTTCTTGTTCCGCTCGAAATTGGCTCAGAAAAATTAAATTGAAAAAAATAGATATAAAGTGTGAAATTCAAACATGTACAAAATATATACAAAAAAAGACACTAATCACATTACCACACGAGATAATATGATTAAAACAAATATAAATATTTGTAAAATATTATTACATAAATAATTATATATTTTTTAAATTTCGAGCTAAAAAGAGCCGAACACGAGCGAACAAAGAACTGTTCGTGTTCGGATCGTTTATAATTCGAGCTTTAAAAAAAAATTTCGTGTTCGGCTCGTTTACTTAACGAACGAGCCGAACACTAGCTACTTAACGAGCCGCACATGAGTTGTTCGCACTAGCTTTTATGAGAGCCCTAGCGTTGCCCCATATATGATTTGCTTCCTCCTCCCTATTTTTACTAGGAGTCTCTTTTTCTTACTTATATTTCATTTCTTTGGGGTGTTATTTTTCCAATTCCTACCTTATGTCAACATTTGATCATTTATAGTGTCTTATAGTTTTATGTAAGCATGAATTAAAACAATTTTATTCAATATAAATTATTTTACATTTAAATTAGTAATTTAGGTGTAATAAAAAAAAGAAAGAAAATCAACAAATTATTTAAATCACATTATATGTGTCTATAATTTTTTTTTTCTTTTTTTCTTACAAGTAATTTACTAACTTAAATGGAAAATAATTTATATTGAATTAAAATTGTTTTAATGCATGTTGTGCATTTATATTTTTACCTTCTAAAGACTTTATGATTTTGAATTACTTAAAATATTATTTAATTTAAGAATATATACATTTCCTTATTTTTCTTTTCAATTGCAATTACATTTTTCCTACATGTAATGTAGTATCATTTAATATTTTATTCATTTCCTTATCTTATTCAAACCGGACCAATTAATATGAATATTTGCACTTATTCTATGTATCCAAATTGCTACATTATATTTTATGGCTATGATTTGAATTATAATAAAATATATTAGTAATTATTTTTATTATTTTAAATGCCTTCATTTTCTTCTTAATTATTCAAATACCACATAAAATTTATTTATTTTTTTCCAATTTTATTTTAAATGCCAAAATAATGAGGCTGTTTTACTCTCAAGAATTTATAAAGTCTCCAGACTATTTTGTTATGACCTGAAATAGTCACCAAAGAGGCTTATTTTAGCCCATTTTGAAACTTTTCTCATATATGTATACATTAAAGTTCTTGAGTTTGGAATCCTATCATACATAACCTTTCAACATATAAGAACTGTGTACTTGTTATTTTAAATTTCCCTATCATTATGTTCACATTCTTACATATTTTTAGCTGCACCCGACTTTTATTATGAATCATTCTGCTGTTGGAATTATATCGCAGGTGGCAACACAAACAATCATGGTGCTTTATTCTGGAATCCAAATTCTATATTGACCAATTGCCATTCTTCTCCACCAATAGGGCATGGCCAAGTCCCAACAGATACAACCACAAACTAAGTTATGCTTCTGTTTTCAATGATTCTGCACCTTCTGTAATTGGATCCGCTTCTGAAAATGAAATCTCTAATTAGAGATAATTTGTTCTTCTGCCTGATAGGAAGAGTACAAAGATAAAGATGATCTTAGAATGCTGAAATGCCTTCATATTTATCATCTCAACCGCATCAATGAGGAATTCCTGTCATATTTGTAAATCTGTTGGGCTAAAAGATCTGTCCTGAAGCAAAAATGAAGCTTGTTTAGATGTTGTTTGCCTTTGCAAAAATATAAATCTGGTTTTTGTTCTTGTAATCAAGTTGTTTAACTGACATGATGTTGCAAAGTGTTTGGTGTAGCTATTTATTGTTTGTACATTTGCATTGTTTATAACCTTTTATGACAGGTGATAAATATATTTCACAATGTTGATCTTAGTATGAACTTTTTTGTTGATATTTGTATTCATTGGGACTGCCATATGCTCTGCAACCAATGATAATGCTCGTCATCATCGTTATCATCATGAGACAACTGTTGTTGACCTACAATGATGCCCACAATTAATCAACATTGATGCATGTTATTTTCAACATTGATGCACATCATCCAATATCATTACCCGTTGTTAACCATTATCAACACTACTGTAACAATTATTGTAGGCCATTTTGGCTTAGTGGTTCAGAGTTCAAGATCTTGCATATGTGGTGTTTGTGTATTTTGGTGTGTGATTTTCATTGGCATACATTAAAGCTCACCCATGGGCGTAGAGCAATGTCAATGGCCTCGATGTCGATTGTAGACATACATGAATGCTTCATTGTCAAACAGTGTTGATTCTAAATAGAATGGGACATTGATTGTAGACTAACACATAAATGATGCGATCAATGTTGTTGTATATTGTTGACGAATGTTATGACATGTAGCAACCAACAAGCCCCAATTGATGCTCTGTGTCAAACTATGTTAGTCCTTATCAACCAATACTTGCACTCACTATTGACAAATGACGTTGTGCCTGTCGTTGACTAGTGTAATTGCCAACAATCTATTTGATTATTGTTCATATAAGAGGGGAAAATAATCTTTCATTATTCTTAGTTGACCACCAAGATTCAATGGCCACATTACAATAAAACAATACAAAAAAAAAGCCAACTCAGTTATTGGGAAATTTGCATACACAACCAACAATTTTTATTTATTTACATATCTAACATGCACCCAAACTTCGACATTGCACTTATAACATAATATCAGGGTTTCATGAACCCATGCATGAAAAATGTGTATTTCATGATCTAAAAAGATAGCAATGATGGTATTTTCAATGTGATGTTAAACATTTGAACAACATGCATGTAAATAC